CGTGGTGCTTGGCTCCCTCCTCCCATTTCCATGGCAACCACATCCCCCCTCCCCTTGGGAGCCCAACTCCTTCCAGGCGGTGGATTGACAGGAGGCCCCTCCCTCCTTTGCCCCCAAGCTTTGCCCCAGGCTTCTCCCAAATGCCCCCCCCCCGTCCTCCTCCTCCCCCCCCTTGGCTGCCCTTCCTCATAAAGCAGTCCCTGCAGGGAAGATAAGCAGGAAAGGCCCCTCCCCATGGAGATGTGGGGGGCACTGAAGCTAAAGCTCTGTCCCTGCTTGGTCACCCCCTCATCCCCCTCCCAGGCTGACCCAAGGCCCTGCGGACGGAGGGCAGGGGTCTCCTTGGGAAGCGGCCAGAGAAGCAGAGTCTTCTTGGATGCTGGCGTGAAGCCACTGGTGAATGCCCGCACAGCTCGGAGGGGGTCGGCCGAGGGCCCTGCTGTGGCTGGGCGGTGCCCACATCTCCCAGGCATGTGGGGGCTCCTGGAAGGGAAGCCAGGGAGGTGTGGATGGGCAGCAGCCCTGGGGGCAGGATGGGGCAGGGGAGGCCTGGCTCTGAGCAGAGGAATCCAGGGCTCCGTCTGCCTCCCCGACTGTCTAGGGGCCACGGTGTGGAGCCCAGGGCCCTTCATGCACCCACCAGACACTCCCTCCAGAAAGGGTCAGCCCCCGCGAGGAGCCCCTGCTGGGCACGGCCTGCCCCCTTCCCGCTTAGGCCCCTCCCCCCTTCCTTCCTTCCACCGCCTGCCCCCCTGGCAGCCCCAGCCGGGGCCCGTCCTGCGTGCTGAGCCTTCTCCAAGCCTTGCGCTGGGTCGCCTGGTGGTGGTGGAGCCCCCGGTGGAGAGGAGGAAAGGGTGCCCGGGGGAGGGAGGGTGGGTGGGAGAGACCCTCGTGGGTGCAGCTGAGCCCGTGTGTTGCTCTCCGGTGCCTGGAGGTCTCTGGGTGGTTTTCCGTCCCCTGGCAGCCATGAAGGCCGACCGGAAGCGCCTGAAGGGGGAGAAGAGCGACCTGGCCAGTCAGATGCAGCAGCTCTACAGCACCCTGGAGAGCCGCGAGGAGCAGCTGAGGGACTTTATCCGCAACTACGAGCAGCACCGGAAGGTCAGGGGGGGCCAGGGGAGGGGGGGCA